TTTGAGATCGTGACAAGGTGGCATTGGCTTGCGGATGAGAAGCGGTTGATGCAATTTTGATTGCTGAAATCAATCCGAGTACCGGGCGTGGCAAATCTCGGGTTTGATATCATTATTTTAAGCGTTTTGCGTCAAGTATGTGACGCTTTGGCTGAGATCCAGGATGTATTAAAGCGACATGCAGATGCCAGACCCAGTCAAAACGCATATACATACGTACTTAGATATAGAATTTTCAGACGCTGTTTGCCTACCTATACGTACAGTGTCTGGGGTGTGCAATACTAATTCTGCGTCTACGCTGTTGATTATGTCACTTTTGCTGTAGCTAGAGAATAAAAAGTAAATTGATTGATTCTCCGCTTGCAGTAATATTTGGTACTTCTAAGCTTACAATCATCTGCTTCTACTGGATATTCTGTCGTCTGCTTCTACTAAAGCTCTGTCTCCCACCGACGTTTTGGTATGTGACCGGTGTAGTATCGCTGGTTGAGGCGTACACTTTAGAAACCCGACTGGTCCTGGAGGCTTTCGTATTGCACGGCGATGATCCGCTTGGTCATTAGGTCCACCTTCATGTCCTTCGTCGAGCAGTACTGTAAAACCACCATGATAAACCTTCTCCCGCACAATGTGATAACGAGTGACAATACGCTTTGTGCGTGTGTAAAGTTTGGGTTTTTATGGCTTGCATGATAGACCCCAGTCGTCCTAAACATCTCAAGGAATTCAGCCATTCTACCTCACCTAGCTGGCACAGAAATTCTTTGGGCTGGGTAGTTTCTTGAGCATTCGTGACAACTCCTGCCCCCGTCGATGACAGCAGCACTGTGCTGCATCTTTTTATTTCAATGCTACATCCGTTGGTCAATATGGTCGCGCAGCTACTTGTACTCCGTCGACTTTCGACGTCGCCTGACCAATTCACATGTGATTATTTTTAGCAGCTTTTTTCACTTGTTGCTTGGAGCTTAATGCCGTGCGTCTTTGTGCCTTACCTGTAGCAAAATCCGCGTCTGAGTTTTACCCGTGTGTGGGACAGGGGTCCGCCGCGTATTGGCTTGATTTCCCACTGCATCAGCGGAGGTCTGAAGTGTTCATTTATGCATGCAGTTCCCCTTAGTACATGATTTGAGTCACTTTAAGTTCTCCGACATCAGGTGTTTTGACATTGTTTCTGTTTCCCATTCCAAATCTCTTTTGATTATCATCACCAATCTTATTTTGACGTAATGACCCCTTTCTCAGGACTAATCTTGCTCAAATTCATACCAAAGGACCAGTTGAGGTGGCTCAAGTCCTTCATACCAAAAGTTTTGGTGATAACGTTCTTCTTTGACTTGGGTAAATCATCATTGTTACTTACAAAGACCAGATCGTCTACATAGAGTGCCACAAATATCACGTCGTCATAGTCTCGCTAGATGTGGATATAGAATTAGCCCCACAATGTTAAAGTCTAACTGTAGTGTAAACAGGTCTTATGTCTAATCCTACGTCCGCGATGGCTGCTTTAGAAAGTAGATCAAGCGCTTCAGATTGCAGACGTATTTTGATTGCTCTGTATCGATGTAGCGATCCCGCTGCATCGGCCCATTCAGGACGCCGTTCTTACGTTCATCGGATGCATCGTAAGATTGTACCTTGCACGCCAGGCTTATCAGAAGTATAATTGACGTGAAGTTGGCTTTTGGTGCAAAGGTTTTTCTGCATCGTCGATGCTGTGCTTGAAACAAAAAGCTATGACCACGAGTCGCATTTAGAGGCTGATGGCAGATACGAGGAAACGATTGAGCAAAACCGAAGTCGTCATTTCAGCTTCACCTTAAAACTACTTGGCTAAGCTAGCATGCACCAACATGCAGCTTGTACATTCCACTATCGTCAGGTTCATCCGTGCAGCAGCACCTTTCTGCTGAGGTGTGTACGGAGGCGTAACCTGACATGACATGATGTTCCAAGACCGGACAATCTCAACAACGCGTACACGCCAGAGTTGTAATTTTGAAAAATCGACTTATCTATGTTTTTGCAAGCGCAACGAATCAGCGAAGTTGTCGACCACCTCCGACCTGTCTCGAAGCAGATACACGATCAAAAGAAAGACCTCTCGTCGTTCAATACCACAAATTTAGGTTGCAATCAAAATTGAGCAACTTTACGGGATGACATTCTTCGCTATTAACAGTTTCCTGGCCTGTGTATGGCATGACTCGAGGAAATATTCATGAAGTTCACTCGAGTTTGCTTACCTTATGCACGACCACCAGACCGGCATCTTTTATAACAGAGAGAAGGCTGCATGAAAGGTTTAGAAGTTGAAATATGGCTTCAAGCACATTCTTCTTTGTTCTGCGTAGTGTTGACATCGTTGTTACTACGTCGCCTTCACCAACGGTTTACATTACACCACTGTTCATAGGATGTACGCTCACATACAAGATTGTCATGTGATACTTCATATATTTTTTGCGTACGCCATGATCTGCGTCGCCCACAACTCGACCAGCCACTCAACATGATATGGTGGTACTAATGTTACGACCAACAGACACTTAGCCTGCGCGATGCTAACGTGCTGCGCCCTGTTCATTCCGCATTTTGTGGATACACACTGGCAATTGTGGGATTCGTGCTTATGAGTTTCCACTGTCGTGACAAGCACTTGTAGCTTTGATCGGCGCTTGTCATCCTTTTCGTCTTCCATTGTTTGCATACACAAATTACTGATATTAATAGTGCGTGATCACCACCTTGTTCTTTGCGCTTCATGTCTTCGTGGAACAGCCGGGACATCACAAAAACCTTTGTTCGCGAGTCGGCGCTCGACTCCAGCGCCATTATCAGGAAATGACGCGACCCGCAGAGACTTTCAAGGAGCATGACAACCTAGTTGTCTTTCCTGACCGTACGACCCACAGCATCAAGCTGTTCCGTCACTGTCATGATCTTGTTAATGTACCCCACCACATCTTCACCAGCACTAGTTGTAATTGTGAAGAAACGTCGACGAAGAAAGAGCAACTTGAGACGCAAGCATGCATCAAGCGCACCACCAGCAGACGAAGCTGAAGGCAACTTCAAATTCTTTACTACAACACAGATGATTGCTATGGCCTAACGCGACCTCTTTTGGACGGAACTGGTCTATGCGGTGGCGCAGTGCTCAACCGCTTTTAATCGAAAACGACTTATACCGATCACGTACCTTAAGCAACTTTGCATCTTGAATTTCTACGTGTGAAGCTTTGTTTCGTCAAATTTGTTGATGCTGCTGGGATTGAGAGGTATAATTACAGAAGGCGAAGCCGTGATCTACGGTATTTGTTGCGGGACTAGGCTCATAACCCGCTGAAAAGTCTACTTGAGCTGTAGATGCCAGATTTAAAATAGATCAATCAGTCCCTTGTCTGCAACACTACTTGCTCTCACTAAATTCAGACCTTAAGATTCTGCTTTTACTGAATACTCTTTTGTCTTATCATCGCTACTCCCCGACACACACGAAATCGGACCGCTCACGATTAGGGCGTAAAAACGATAAAGCTACAACTGATATGTCGAAGAGAATGCGAGGGGCATTCAGATTTGAAGTGTTCTGTCGAAGATGGAGCAGCGTCCCCACCATCATCTGCAGTTGAGCTACCCATTGCTCCAGAGTAGCGATACGTTGCTGAATCGAATATTCAGTGTGGTGGCGCGGCTCAAAAGGCGCATCTAAAATTGATCCATCTCAGTTTCTGCCGCACGCCGAGATTCTCAGAGACAGAAAGTGAGAGTCAACGTATTAATATCAAGCTGCAAAAGTATCGCTACTGCTCAGTGATCAAGGTAAGGCTCCCTTCCGCGTGGAACGTTTTGCGGGCCGGCGGATACACCAGGGCTGTAATCAGTAGATGCTGTAGTGGAAGGTAAATTCCACTCCGAAAAGTATAATCATGGGGTTGAAGGCCCCACTGGGGCAAGATTGTCCTGATACTAAGCTGTGTCTTCTCTATGTCGGTCCATACACTGTTGTAGCAATTAATATATTTGAGATTCACTTTAGGATCCCGACGAGAATGCAAAATCATCCTTCGCTCAAAGTAGGTATGCTCGGGCCATATCGCAATCCCGCTCTTTTGATCCAGTCATATGTTAAGCACTGTGTAAGAATCGAAGTGACCTCGCAGCGTTGGACATCGGTGCGTATTTTGACAGCCAGAATACTCTGTACAATGGCGTCTCAGTTTCGAACTCACGCTGAATCTATCGAAGAGAGTTGACGTGTTTCCATCATCACGAGGCCAGCTTTAGTAGGATATCCTTCAGAGGGCTTGCTTGATGAGCGAGAGGTGGCCTACTTCTACTTAGTAGGTCACCAGGATTGTCACCAATATTTGATGGAGTGTATAGAATACCTCACCTCGAAGACTCATTGGAGTCTGAGAGCCGACTTTGTTAAGATCATCTTAAAACTGCCGATGCATTAAATGTGTTCAAACCGTCGCCTCCAATTGCTATGCGTACCGCCAGCCTTGATCTATTATGGGGCAAAGGCAGAATTGCCTGGTGAAGCGTGCTTCAAACTAGCCGACCCAGTACCAAATTTGATATTATATCGGTTGTTGTACCAGTCTGCTTTAGAAAGAACTTGGGGTTTTGAGCTTCAACCTTAACGTTTATGTTGTGCTTTGTAGGTTTCATGGTGAATCATTAGCGGGAACTGCTTCACCTAAAGCTGGCCTGTAAAGCTGTAAGACGAATGAAGGGTTCTGTATTTCTCACGCGGAGCGCAAATCCAGTGCGAAACTTATCGGCACTTTTGTCGGCAATCGGTACTCAAATTATAGCCCTCATAGAAGGTTCTGATCAACCCCAACCGTTGATACTCCAAGCGCACGTGGACCTCTTGAGGAGTGGTAGTAGCGCACGCTTGCAGCGGGGCTGCCGTTGCTTAGCGCTTGAGGAAGCGTAATTTAGGTCACCGACCTTTCGTTCTTTACAAGAACTAATACGAGTGTAGCGGATCGCAATCCGCTAACTCCAAGAGTAGTTACTACCTTACCAAGGCTAATAAACTCTTCGGTTTAGATTCAAAACTGATCTTTATCTGCGGCTAAACCGCCTAATTTTATATGTATAGCTTTTACTAAATAAGTAGAATCTAAATACATGCATAACTACTGGCTACCTAGCTACATACCATATTCTTGTTTGGATGCAGTCACACCATGAACGTCTCGTGTGAGACGCACCCCTGTTACCAGGGTACGTGTAACCCCGTTACAACGCTCGTCACTTTCTGGTTATGCAAAATGCCCGCATACGAAGGTGTAATAACGGCTTTGCACTAACACAGCGAGCAACCACTCCCGAAAGTCAGCCTTACAAACGACATGATAAAGTTTTTGGCTGCTTCGATATCTCGTGGTGCAGGCCATTTGCTCGACGCGACAATTCGGTAAAATTTTGCCTTATAAATATTTAGTTCATGAAAAATTGTAATTTTTTATAATATGAAAAAGAAGAAATGAGCTAAAATATGGGAACTTGCCTTGAGACATGTACACTTTCGCATTTGTGTACCAAACTGTCAAACTCGAAGCAACTTCTGAAGAAAATGTAAAAGACATGACGTCCCACAATATTCCAGCCAAAGCGTCTGCGAGTCAAAAATCAATGCGCCAAGGACTCATCATGTTGAAGATATTGATGACCTTGCCTGTTCTATTTGCTCTTTTGAGATTCACTGGAGTTAGTGGTGGGCCGCTTGGGTATGGAATATGCCAGTCCGGGTGTCAGCGGCGTGTTATGCCGCTGCCGATGGGGTCTTTGGTGTTGCCTCGATTCCTGGGTGCAACTCTGCGCTGGGAACGTGCATGGCTAGTTGTGTTGCAGCTGGTTTAATACCAACACCGTAATCGTTGACAATGACTGCTCGAACTCTTAATAGGATTCTATCGTGTGAGAAGCTCTCGGTAGCAAGAAGAAAAATGCAACAGTGTTGATGCATGAACGTGATCTGGGAAGCACAGGCAATATATTTGTAAGCGTAGCTAGTAGTGTGATTAAGATGTATTTAAATTCACAAAATATAACATGAGTGATCTGACAAGATCATTAAGGAACGAAAGCCAGCGTGACTGACCTTAGATATGACGCTCGCTAGAAACCAATCCAAGCCTTTGCGACGAACTTCCATTTGTAACATTGAAGTCTTAATAATCCCTTTCATCAAGTCCAATTACAAATGCAAAAATAGTATTTTTAATCATATAAAAAAAGGTACGTCAAGGCATAATAGCATTAATTAACCAAAATCTGGTTTGTTTACTTGATAGAAAAGGGCAAGATTTGCGTATGTTTGTAACCATTGTTTATGACCTCACATTTTCGGTGTTGTCAATTGAGATTGATGACCTCATAATAAATAGTCTAAAAAAAGGGTTATGACAATGAGGAGGCCAACTACCCATCCTGTCCAGTAGTTCACGCACGACGTTCGTCTTGGTTGGATTGACACTCGACAATCCCCTTTATTTCTCGCAATTCTCTTGCAGAGAAAGACACATGGAGAAGACGTTCGACGACCAACCTCAACAGGGCTCAGTAAAGCTAGTCGAGCGACTTGTGATTGACACGGTTGCTGCCATTGCTGCATCACTTGGTGTCGCGCCCTTCATCACTATTGTGGACCGTGCCATCATTGAAAATGCTAGTGGTGCTCGCCCACTTGGTCGCGGTCTCAAAGAGCTGAGCATTGACTTTCTTAAAAATCCACTACGTTTCATTGGAAAGCGTGAGTTTCATCTGATCTTTGGTCTCTACACCGCCACGTATGCAACCGCCAACATTGTCGATTCCGTGTGCGAGCTTGCTGATACAGACAGCCAAATGCCAAAATTTTTTGGAACCACAGCCGTAAACATGTCACTTTGCATTGCTAAGGATCGTGCTTTTGCACGTATGTTTGGTGTCATCGCACCTGGAGCTTTTCCGCTTGCTTCCATTGGTCTATTCGCCGTGCGTGACTCATTGACGTGCGGTGCATCGTTTAATGCCCCCAAGGTGCTGGCTAAGAAACTTGAGGACAATCAATTGATGGAAAAGTCAAGTGCTAGCACCTTTGCGCAACTTATTTGTCCCGCTGCGGTGCAATTCGTATCCACACCGCTGCATTTGCTTGGTCTTGATCTATACAACAACAAGGGTCATGCTGTAACTCAACGCATTGGATTCATCCAGCGCGAATACGTTAAGTCTGTGCTTGCACGTATTGGCCGTATTGGACCAGCTTTTGGAATTGGTGGAGTGGGTAATTCGTACGTTCGCAACACGCTTCGTGCGGGGTTGGAGTAGATTATATGTGAGTATTGCTAGTATGCGGATCTGGTGTCAATACTACTGTGATTTTATGGTACCAAATGACATTCTGTCATTGTGTTGCCATCGGCATTTGCTCTTGATATTAAAGTATTCATTACACATTGAGACCTTGGATTTACGCGAAAGCCGATCGCTTACATTGCAGCTGACCATACGCTTCTGTATTCTCGACTAAAGTACTATTTTCAGTCCTTGATGCTTTCATCACCGTCATCGTCTTCATCTTCATCATCTTCTTCTGCCTCCTTTAACGTTAGAGCCTTAACCTCTTCGATTTCCCGCTGTAGCTCAGCAAATTTTTTCAAAACCGTATGAGCACTACGATCCGCCTTGTCTACGTTGATGCGGGCCGCAGAAGCGCGTGCTTTCTGCAATTCCTTTACAAGAGGAATGTCTGGACCCTAGTAAAATACTAAGTGAACAAATTGCAAGAAGAGTTGATAAAACAAACGCCAACAATGAACCTCGTGTTCAACTAGCACTTCCATTTGCTTGTCGTATGCAAGAAGCAGCAGCTTTAACAACTCGTCCGAAGGCATGGCAAAAAAATGCAAGAATGAAGGCTTTCCAATTGATGACCGAGTGTCGATAATAGAGCCTAGATCGTCACCCTATCAAAAAAAATGAAACACGTTAAGTACACTACCTATTAAATAACGATCAGCTCATTATTGAGCTAACCTTGACGCGAATAAAGGCACCGGGATACCCGTCGAGTTCCTGTACGCCGTGAAGTTTCTACTTACTCAAACACATAACTAACACCGTTATGGATCAAGCAGCTTACAATTTTAGTCGAGGAATCTGCTTTGTTTCACCTACCGTTACTGTTTTTTTAACAGGTGGCCACTTCATGGCGTACCACCAACGACATAACAGCTCCTGAACCAATCGACCCTTTAGCGACTCATACAGCTCTTCTGTACACTCCTGTTGTCGAATTTTAATCTGCAACTCAGACAAACGATTAGTCTCCGCATGAACAATCTTTTCAGACCATCTCAGTGGATACCTTACCTTTATGACTCTCTTTTTCATCTTGCGTGATGTGTTCCTTGGTGTGGACCGAGAGCTTAGCATGGTGACCTGCACACTTTCCACCTTGCATTTTGGCTCAACCTTAATCTTCTTGCGCTTTGCCAGATAACTGATCGGAATATCGTCATCACTGTCGCTGCTTGGCCCTATCTGTCGCTTGCCCTGGATCACTCCATTTACCTCAGGTAGCGCTACCTCTTTCTTTACTTCAGTATCCGCAGAAATCTTCACTTCCTTCTTCGTCACCGTAAGTTTGGAACGCAATGCTGAGAGCGGGACGTCGTCTTCGCTGTCGCTATCACTACAAAAGGATAGAAGTTCAAGAGTAAGCTCATCAGACTTTCACACATTGCTATGGCGGCAGTAGACATGTTACGGAGACTAAACATTTTGATAATATACAGCGAATCTTTCTGTCTGTTAACGTATCAAATAAAGCTTGTACCTGTCAATGATGCGAGGAATTGTGCTCATACTAAGCGTCTCGGGCAAACAAACCTGTAGGTCAAATGTCACTATTTCATATACCTATTTCATATGTTGAAAATACTATAATGACAAGTCTTGACCACATTAAAGCCATTGGACCATGGATGATGACCCGATAGTGCGCGAAATTCCCGTGCATCTTGCGGATGAATTGCGTCGCAATCTGTAAGTTTATCTATTATGTATCACTACGCATGTTAATGCTAACGAATTGTCGCGCGGATATGATTGGCGAGTAGCTATATGGTGCAATTTCCACTGCGACCGACGTACCGCCCGATGCCAGAGCCTCCACATCGAGCGCGTATTAAACCCCAAAACCAACTGATGCAGCTTGATTTTCCTGTCGACCAGCGTAGCGAGCACTTTGACCAAGATGCAGAGGATTATATCAAGCAAAAACATCTGCGGTTGCAGTCGTCCAGCGTGCCAGCGCTATCCAATTATGCTGTGGGCGTATTTCGTCAGGGTCAGCTTCACCTTACACCACTCACATCAATTATGCAAATGCGCCCTAGTCTCTCGCACATTGATGACGCTGCTAACGAAGAGGAAGAAGATTTGGAAGAAAAGATCGAACCACCGCCTGCCGAGCTAAAAGAGGTCCAGTTTCAGTTTAAAAAGAAACAGTCCGAGCGTGCCATTTCAGCCATTCAAAACTCGTACGCCTACAAGAAACAGCAAATTGATGCTGAAAACTGGATTGAACTTCAGGTGCAAGACAAAAACGTAAGAAAAATTTGAAGATATGACATATCGTGCAGAACGTTGAGTTAATTCTGTGATCATTGAAACAGAGTTGCGGGGCCGAAGAAGAATTTGAAAATCTATTTAGTGAAAAAGAAGAAGAAGTGGTCTCGACAATGACGCCTGACCAATATATTAAAGCGCTACAATACCGCACAGTGGCTTCAGATGATAAGACGGCTTCGAACAACCCAGCACAGTACGTGCACTCCGAAAGGACCAATTAATCATTTGTGACGTCTTACATCATTGTTTCGTTTTGAATATTAGCGTTCATACAGACGACGAAGAAAAAGAAGATGCAATGGACTTCATTCCTCAAATTCTTCCTGATGGTCTTGACACCAAGTACTTGGAAGTTCAACGACTGCTCAAAACAGACCAGATCATGCATTTCGACATGCTTGCAACGCTTCTACCTACTTTAAGTGAGAAGGATATATGCGATGCGCTTAAACACATCGCCATCCACGCGCGAGGACGTTTGCTTCCTATCAGGTACGTTGTTCATTAACTTTCCTTCCATTTTTTTGGATTTAAAGGAATGTTTTATTTGAACTTGTTTTCCTATCAAACATTACAGTGCCTTGGTCTGTCGTGGCGAAACGATGGTTCGGACTCGAAATTATATTATTCAGGCAGTACGTGGTCTTTATGAGTCGATAATTATAAGCATATGTTGATCAGCTTTACGATTTAGTTGTCCCAGGCACCGAACGGTGTAACGAGAACGGAGCTGGCAGAAACTTTCTCTCTAGACGCTGATGCGGTCAAAACAATCTTGAGCGGTAAGACCATTTCCATATCCATCTTACCTGTTGTGATTGATTGCTTGGATGACGTGCAAGCAGAAGTAGCAGTTTTAGAATCGACAACGCGAACGTGGAAATTCCGTTTGGGCCCCGATGACTCCTTTATACAGCGATTTCCTACCCTCGCAAAGGCAATCAAACTTTAGAGCCGATGTACCGATTTCAGGCCCACAGCGTCCTAAAATATAATTGCAACCACATTTGCGACTAAAATCTTCAAAGTTGTGAAGGCTACAGAAATACGCTCGTTTAAGAGTCGCTGCTTTTCGCCAACTCCTTTTGTTTCTTGCTGCGCATAAATTCTAGCGCCATAGCTCTCCACTCAGCGTATTCTTCAGGTGTAGCTGCTGTTGCTGTATTTTCGGACGACTCGAGGCTTTTTACGATTACTTTGTTTCCTCGCGATGTGTGCAGAGATTGTAAACGATGCTGCTGCACCAGCGTCAAATGCGACGAAGCCATATTGACTTCAGGACTTGTCCTTCGTCGCTCCTCATCCTCCAGCTGTTCGATACGATACTGCTCTCTTAGCTTTTTAGCTGCTCTCTTCACTTCAAAGCTCCGAAGTTTCTTTCGATCTAGGATAGCACCACTCAGAGACATTTGGCATTGGGTCTGGAACAGGGAACATAGTAATCTGAGTCAATTGCAACCATTTCTATAGACATGTGCACAACCTCGACGGAGGATACGATCGCATCAAACGCCTTGGAATCACCGCATACAGCTTCAAGCAATCTCTCCTGATTTACATTTATCTGCATGTAAGAATCGGAATACACGTGTCAGCAGCTTCCTCGAGATTGTTAAAATTCAGCTCTTTAACCTTAGCCTGTTTACTAACAGCATACAAACACGCGGCTGCGAATACTGGATCATTCTCATTCATTGTAGACGCTAAAACACTAACTGAGTGCTTACGTCTCTTTCTACGATTTGCCGCTGCCATCTGCGCCAGGTATACACGATACTCATCCAAAACACGATGTACGATTTCCGTGAGCGCCTCACAGCCAAATTTGATACACAATGCAGAAGGTGAAATCTTCACCACAGTGCGAACGCCCACTGCGTCCAGCACCTTGCGCACCATGGGTTCTATTAGTCTTGTATTAGCACCAGCGCATTTTGCCAATCGCTTCTTGTCTACAGGTTCTTCCATCGCGCGTGCTGCAACTATGATACACGCGACAGGACCAGCAAACGGATCTAGACCTGCCGATTTTTTCGCACTTGTCAATCGCCAATTCTCTTCTGCTCGAGATATTAATCGCATTGGTAATCCGCCATACTTGGCTGCAATTGTCCTCACATCCATGACACAGGAATAGATTACGCAATGCTTATCAAATTGATATCGAGGCTCGTCTTTATGCAATACGATAGGTCATTACAATTACAGAGTTAAGACATCACAATGGAAGCCTCAGACGCGTCACTATCTGCCGAGGAAGGTAAGAGGGAAAACGACAGTTGTACGCGCACTTATGAGATCAATCCCTTGTATGTAAGTGTAAAGTATCTCTTGGTTGTGACATTAAGCTGTAGTAGACACTCCCGTTGAAGAACTCGAGAAACCGACTCCCTCCCCTCCGCATTCGAATGGCGAAGTGGACGTCATTTTGCAACTGCAAGCGTGGAAGGAGCGAGGTGAGCAATTAGAGAAATTACTGACCGTGAAAAATGCAAAGTTGCAGGAAATGGAGGAGACGGTGAGTTCAAGACGCTATGGAGTTGACATCTGAACAAGCTAACAGATTATGAATGCAGGAGGTCAAGTTGAAGCGATTATTAGCTATGGCCAAGCGTAGTATTGACAATAGTAAGCAAGAAGCTATGGAGAAAGATGAGAGGATTCAAACGCTACAAGAAGAGCTGAGCAAGAAGCAGAAAAGTAGACACACATGGGTCGTGGACGCGTCAACGCGGGACCCGAAAAAAATCTGGCAAAAAGTGGCGCACGGAAAATTGATTTGGTGTTTGGTTGAGTACGCAGACGAAAACGATATGGACGAACTGAAAGAATTTGCATGGCATTGCTTTAATAATGAAGAGGAGATCCAGGCATATGCAAACCGTGCGACGGGAGAACCGTTGATGCTACCAGACTTTTCTATGATGCCGTATGAAGTAGAGCGCGTGGTAAGTACATTGGAACATATAATTCTATTGTGTGAATTCTTAAATCAAATCTGCTTTATAGAAAAAGAGCTTGGAGGAAGAAATCGACCGTGTTCAGGAAGAATTTCGTCGCTATCGCGTTCGCTCTGAGATTGCTCGGAAGCAAAAAGACGCTGAGATTCGAAAGGTTGATGAATAGTTAAAGATTGCACCGCAGTCATACTGACAAGTCTGACATTTTTGCTGCAGATGAACGCAAATGTAATGGCTAAACAGACAGAGCAGATTGCAGAAATCGACATTCTAGGGGAGCTACAATTGTCAAAAGCGCAGATTCGTCGGTTAGCAAAGGCGCAAGCTGAGGCCGAGGAGCGGGTACGGAAACCTGATGAGCTCTATTGTTTTTATCTGAATTTGGTATCATAATCTTGCAAGGAATCGGAGTGGCGACGAAAGTTCGAAAAGCTGATGAAAGATTATGAAAAACTAAGCGGTACGATGGGTGAAACAGCTTTAGCAATGGAATGGAGAGAAAGGTTGGCTTGTAATCAAGCTTACGTTTACAAAGTTCTCGTCTGATAGATGTGTCACATTTATATCATCAATCACAGATATGAACACACAGTTCGCGAAAAGCAAGAATTGGAAAAAAGAATGGAGGAATTGAAGTTAATGAGTAGTGGTGCATTCGGTAGTTGGAGTGACAGCAGTAATGGAGATTTACAGATGTTGCGCCAAGAATCAGCGCAACATCGAAAACGTGCCTTGAATGCTGCGGAACAGAAAGAATCAAATAGTGTTCAGCTGCACTATCACGAAAATGGTGGGGGGAGCGGTATTAGTAGCCGTTCGAACAGTTTTAAAGATACTCATGCTCGCCGTTTGAGCGGAGAGTCCAACAGCAGCCTGTCGGGGTTCGAAACACCCAACGCGACCAAAACAAATGAGTATTTAAAAAATATTATTTACAAATACATGGCTTCTGACCAGCATGAGGTACGAGAAGATGCGTTTTAAGAAATATGCGCTCATGCTGACTTTGGTGCTTCGAATCTTTTAGGCCAAGGAGCACATGGAGAAAGCAATTGCGACCATTTTAAATTTTACCCCATCCGAAATCACTGCACTTCAGGTGCATAAGACTGCAATTTGTTTGCATGATTCGTTACTTTTACTGTGTTCTGTGTAGGAAAAGCGAAAGCAAACGCAGGGCTGGTTTTGGTAACCCGAACGCATCCATATAACTCCCATTTATTTTATCAGCTTTTCGTGGATCGAATAGAATTGCAACAACGTATTGTAGTGTTACTGCATCGCATCTTAGCAACGTTATTTATTACTGAAAATGGCTATTAGCTTTAGACTTACTTTATGGATTGTTGTCGTTGGTCGAAGTAGCGCACATATCTCTCCACGACACTATACTACACACACCTGGAGAATCAGGGTATCGATCCCTGTACTTCTCATTAATAGCCTCAACATTTGATACTAGCTTTACAAATAATAAATGATAATTGCGTAGCTCGAAGGCTCGCAAAGTGACCTCCTCAACGTTTCTTGCTTACAATTGATTTGGTTCGCTGTAGGTGCGAAACAATCGCGTCAAATGACACATGATCCAGTAGCAATAATGCATTCATTGTTCGATGATGCTGTCAGATGGCCATTCATCTGACAACAGGAGGAATCGATAGAGCTTGATAATGGTGTTTTTCGGATCGAAGAAATCTTTCATCGAGCATCCTCAGAAAACAAGTGAAGAATTTCGAATTCGATGCTCGCCATTGAGGTAATTTCTGATACATATACAACGTCGCGATCATTGTGCCTGTTAATGCTTGCTTCTCGACTCAGTAGATCACTACCGAGTTTCTTCAATGCCCACGTCCCGTGCCACGAGTGTGTTAAGGATGGAGACAGACGGTTCGCTACCACTTCACTGAAAGTTTTTAATCGACGTGCTATGAGTCAGGACAGATTTAGCGGTAGGTGGGCTTCATCTGCATTTCAGCCGGAACCCGGTCGGAACGTTCCTAAAGATATATCACCAGCGCATTCTCAAAACTGGAGAGTGAGCTACAACCGAATTCGGCGCTCGACCGAGCGTGAATGGACTGTTTACACTGTGATAATAAAGCATGAACTGTTCAACTATCTATCCCGTTATAACTAGAGCATTTTGGTAAGCTATGTCTTTCGATGATGAGGAAACCAGCGACTACAAGAATTGATTACAAGTGCTACTAAGTGCAATGCGTGTGTCGTGCATTTTGCACTGCAAAAGCATTAATTCTCAGTGTTCGTGTAAAAAAACGGGCAGGTGTTAAGTACTCGGAGTAGAACCTAGAGCCTGTCTTGTAATTAGCTCGGCGTTTTGAGATTATATGAATATAGACACGCTTCTAATGACTCTTATGATCAACTCGTCTTTATTGTTCGACGTGTAGCTAGCAGCCCACATGTACCACAAGCATCTTTTCAAGGAACATTTTCATCTTTATACATACGGGCACTTCGGTACATACGTACTATATGGTTTCACGAAATGCAATGCTGATCTCGTGCAATTGTTCAGTACTGGTTATATCCAATTTTACTACAGTTGTCACCCCGTTACAATCGACGTCATGACGCTGCGATTCTTGCTGATGCTGTCGTGTGCAGCTTTGTCTCGACGATGAGCAAGGTTTTCAGCATTATTATATCAAAAGAACATTTCCAGTTCCAAGCGATCTTATCGCCCGTCGGTCGATTACGTACACGATCCGTAACGTTCAAGCTCGAAAATGCTGTACACAATATATCGCGGGCAAGCAACTTATGTTGGGTAGTTCAGATAAAATATTGATGTCGACAAACAAACAGTTCTTGTCAAATTTGATAATATTTTCGAGTAATGCTGCTGCAGAATTGACCCGATGTCCAACATTCAG